TTTGTGAACTAAAACACATCATAAAGGCTAGCATTAAATCATTCAAAAACGAATGATAATTTGACTCAAATAATGGTTATCTCGCAGAGAGAGAGAGAGAGAGAGAGAGAGACTGTGAATAAATTGGTCGATTGGAAGAAACTGTGGGAACATTCAATCATTAGACACACAGTATGACCACTGCTGGCAACATAACAGTGCCATTAGAATAACTAGTAATCATATCACAACTGTTTGAGTAATAACTTATGCCTAAAACCTATTAAATATCTGTAAAAATGTCAGTTCTTATGTAAACTGCACTGACTTTGAATGTTATAATATTTTAAAAATAATTTTAATAATCGACTCCAATCTTGATTGCAAATAAAATCGATTGCGTCTATGAATTAAATGCAATGAATTTTATCTCTCAATTCAAGGCAACCGTTGTTTTTTGGTGAACAAAGAATACTACATTTGATTCACACATATTCGGCTGAATTTAACTGAATTCCCAAAACTATTCATTCAATTATTGATCGCTTAGTTTTAGCCTTAGTTTAGTTATTCAGTAAAAGCTAGCTTTCAGTGCAAACACATCGAGAGAATAGAGAGAAACAGAAAAAAGTGAAAAATAATTGGGAACTTATATAGCATTTGGTGTTTGTTTGGATCGATATTTCAAATAATTGCCATTATTTTCGATTAATAAAAAAAGTAAAATACAAATAAAAATATAACGAAAATCTAATTTACTTTGTGATTAATAATCGACGAAATTATTTTCATTTCTTTTTAAGACACGATATCTAATGTTAATTACAAATAATACTAGAATTTCTCGATATACTCGTAATGCAAGTAAATGTGACAATTGATCATAAAATTAATGCCTAAATAAAAATATTTTTTATCCTCAAGAATTATACAGCAACACTAATGGCAGTAATTGTAATAATTATATGAAAAAATCAAGCTATACTTTAAAGTCTCAAATAATAGCAGTAATAATAATAGGAATGAAACAGAAAATGGCAATAATTCATAATAAAAGTGATGGCTATTAGTGGTCACAAAAATTATATTACAGTTGATATGATAACTGGTTATTTGGGGCGAGTTTTCCTGTAAGCAATCGAACCTTTCCTTCCGGAGTGAACCGCTGGACACAGACTACCCGTCCATACATTGGGCTAATGTTTCTTACATACAGTAATAGTGGAGAAATGATACTTTGCAAAAGCAAACCGAGAAAAGTTTGCCATCCCTCACACATAACTCATTAAATAGAGAGAAAAGTTTTATGTTTTGTATCTCATTCTTATTAAATATAATGTCATTTTTCATCACCCGATGAATCCCCAGACGTATACACATTATATGTGAAGTCATCGCATGAGGATAGGGACGAGAGAGAGAGAGAGAGAGAGAGAGAGAGAGAGAGAGAGAGAGAATAGCAAAAATTAGTTTTACAACTAAAGGGATGGAGTGATTGCCTGTAATTATAATAGGAGTACAGCTTTTTTGTTAGCAATTTATGAGCGAAAGAATATTTTTGTTTTGGTTTTTATGGAATAATATAATAGACAATGCAATGGCTGTATTGAATGGCCATTCAAAATAAGTCGTAAACCATTAACCACTACCACCATCACCACCACCACCATTGGCACTGCAACTGCAGTTTTGTAGTTATGGTGCAAATTATTATTATTTTTTAACAGTTTTCTCCAAAAGCCAACTTAACTATCAATAAATGATTGGATTCGGGAAAATGTTTTCACAAAACGTTGTGAACAGAAAAAGAGAAAAAAATTTGTGTCGATATATACAGTCAAACCATTGAAACACCTGCCCAACCGAATACTGGGCACTGGGATGTATAAGCGTACAAATGCACTGTATTTTGTTGGCAGCAGTTGTCAATCAAAAAATATAAGGAAATATTATTTCTCTGCCTTTTTATTTTTACAGCACTTTTTTGGTGTTACGCCTGAACTCATAATTATATACTTTCTCTCTCTTCACTGTATTTTGTTGGCAGCAGTTGTCAATCAAAAAATATAAGGAAATATTATTTCTCTGCCTTTTTATTTTTACAGCACTTTTTTGGTGTTACGCCTGAACTCATAATTATATACTTTCTCTCTCTTCCACTCTCTCAGTGTTCTCTGTCTTTCGTTTTACTTATTTTGATGAGAGATTCAAAAGTGAACACAAAAATTATATTTAGGATTACAGACACACTGTTAAGGACTGCCAGTTCTTTATGTACCTTAAATACAGTGGAAAATAAGGCAAACATAAGAATAGTGGGGGAAATGCATGAAGAAGTCATGTCTTTAAAATGTGATAATACACTATGTTTTCACTCATTCGCTCATTCCCTATATACATGTATTATAATTTAAATTTAATTGCATTTTAAACAACTGATAATCTTAGACATCAAAACTAAACACCGGTTGAGGTGAGAGAATGGGCAGCACTTTGTGTGTAAAACAAGAATTTTTATTATTATTAAAAGTTTTTTCTAAACAAAAAAGCATTTCTTATTCTTATAACATAAATAAGCTGAAGGTATGTATGTATATAAGAGTTGATTGAATTTTACAGGTCGTCCCCACTGTCTGACGAGTTAGTGGTTTGCAAATGGAAGGGCTGTTTGGTTTGAGACCAAAGAAAAGAATGCCATTAATACTGATAATTAGCTCAGCAGGAGATACCGAGTAATATATATTTGGTATAAATTATTCTTTCGGGTGTTTGTGTCGATCCAATACTTTATTCACGACAACAACAACTCCTTTTAGCCAATTATAATAAAAGTCAACAACCATTGCGTTCAATACATACAAATCATTTAGAAAACACAACTCCAATACATATCTCTGATAACAAAAATGCATAATTGGTTCAAAAGAATTGCTTTCTATTTAAAAACCATTTCCATTAAACTTGATTTGTTGTCAATGAAAGGGCTATAAATGAAAATATTGAATCATTTTCATTAACTAATTATATACTGTAAGCGATTGATTGCCATCCGATAAGAATTTAATTAATTTTAATTACAAATTTTTGTTAAATATTTTAATACTAAAACACAACTTAATGGCAATTGAGATACTTTTCACTCAAACTTTTAAAATATTGACAGGATATGTATATATAGAATAATCTAAATTTCATGAATAGTTAATAACTAATCCTAAATTTAATGCATAATAATTGTGACAAAAATAAAATTACGATTCTTATCAGAATATATTTGCTCATCACAAAAATGCCACAATTTTTGACTAGTATTTTGCTAACAAAAAATGAGTAATTTATACTGCATTTGAAATGACAATACTGTTGTTATACACACACAGAGTGTATAATTCATATGAAAAATCATTGAATATTCAAAGCATAGAATCAAAAGCAGAGCACAACTTAATAGAGGATAAAAATCTCATTACTTTAGTGAATGGATTATTCAATTGGTTAACGTATTACTGGCAGTAAAAGGATTTTGTGCACCAAATGTATATAAAAACTAGTGTTGGGCCTAATTTTAATTCATGACATGAATATTCGATATTATGATTATAGTCTGTATTGAATACTGGTATTAGACGCAGGGAGGGAGAGAGAGAGAGATAGAGAGAGAGAGAGAGAGGGAATTTATTTGGTAGTCACAAAAACAACAAAACTATTATCTCATGAATTGTGAATGCATTGAAGAGAAGCGACTAAATAAGGTTTAGACCCGTTTGTCAATCAATCAAATAAAAGCTTTAATACAATATTGATTCAAAAGCAGAGCTCAATCGATGAGATGGTAGTGAAGTGAGTGCACAGGCAGTCATTCAATCAGATATACACTCCTTATATAATCTATTTTATTGCAATATCCCAGAAAAACATAACATTTAGCGCTGTTTGCGAGCCCTTCGTAAATGTTAAACTGATTTATATTTTTTATTTAATAATAAAATAAAACTTTTACTAGAATTTAATTATTAATGCTTAAAATTCTACAAAATTTAACTTTTAATCTGTGAGATACGAAAAAGAAGTTTGAATATATTATGTAAGTATACGACCCTCATTAGGCGACTTATAAAATTGTATATAAAGTCTTTAATTTGCATATAAAGTGCAAGATTTAGCACCGATTTTAAAGGATGTCATTATCGTTATATTTTTACAGGCGATGAATTTCTGCTCAAAAATAAGTATAAAATTTCCCTTAAAAACAGTTTTTCAAGACATTTAAATTTACATTATCTGTTAAGAGTCGTCAAATTATAATGCCATGAATTTGATAACAATTTTTTGCTAAATTAAAACAAATGCTCGCAACAAAAACTCGCAGAGGGTTTATTCGCAAACACATGTTAAGCAAATACAGACTTGTAATCAACGATAGAAAAGACAATACAAATACATATAATAAATATAAATATATTGTTTCATTGGCTGCACAGCCGGTGGCCTTTCATTAGCTAAATACTAGTGTCGGAGGGATCGGTATATTGAATGACCAGACCTTTAATCACAAGTAAGACTAAGAGGGCTTTAATCGCGTGATTGCATGCGATGACCAGCGAAATACTGCAGCAAAATGTGAGCACAAAATAGCAGTTTTACGTAAAGCAGAGCAAACTTTTGCCTTTTTCTGGTCATTATTTCAGGCCAGAAATGAGTGCCATCAACAATGGCTGTGCCCATATATTATCTCCGACAGCACAGCCACCCTAACCTCTACTCGACAAACTCTTGCAATCAGTTTTCTCTCTAACTATTGAGTGTGTATTACATTTGAAAGCACTTTAGTATTTGCTTAACGTTTTGATTGGGTTTTTGGGGTTTAATGAAAGAGAACTCAATAGGAAATTGGATGCGAAGGCAAGGGTTTGACAAAAGAAAATATATTGAGAAATGTGTTTAACTGATGAGAGTTTGGCGACAACTCTGACTGAAAATCAATTTGCGAAGACATGAGAGGGACGGCACAGACTACTCACCAATTATTAACTTGAAGTATTGTGAGCCCCGTGTCCTGAGCCAACTGTTTCTTTTGATCTTCAGATGGATAGGGATGCTATCAAAACATTACACACATATCAGTGTCAGTCAAACATCAATACATTTTATATTAGTTTTCTAAACAAATAATTGAAAAGTTTTTTGTGCTATTATTCTTTGACTATTTAATGATAACAAAATGATATGTGAAAAGTGAAAGAAAAAGTCGTACAAAAAATATTACAATAATCTAATCATAATATGAAATGTAATGCAAAGGAGAGAGGGAATCAAAAATGTTTTTGATAGCCAAGCCTTTTGCTATTTATTTGTATTAAATCATATACGAGTGTCACTCATCATGCAAAGAGTTATGATAAGCGCCACTCTTTGTTGCCCATCACATCACATCCCAATTTCATGTGAGATGTGTTGTCTCTCTATGCCTGTCCTAACACTTCCCCCATATTTCGGTGTCAACTCTTATCGCATAACAGAAATTTAATCAAAACTTTATTTGATATAAACTAATAGAAAAAGCATAAAAGGAGTGCAAAAAATGTAATCCAATATAATGTAAGCATAAAATTGTATTTACAGTCAAAATGATAGCAAAAAATTGAATTTTGTAAAGAATTTCAACAAAAAATTTAAAGTCATTTGTATGTAATATATATGTGTCTGCGAGAGATGTGATATATATTAGGCTTACTGTCAAGTGCTGGAAAAGCCAGGCCCTCATGATATTGGTGGCAACTTTCGGGAATATTCCCCTCTTCTTCTGTCTCTTTTTGCTCCTGTCGTCGTCATCGTCTTCACCGGTGCCATCGCCCGACCCTATGCTCGCGTCGCCCATAAAAGATCCTATCGATACATATAAAGCAGATATTCTTTAATATTTGTCATCCATTTTAATAATTGAGAGAATATTCTGTGTTTATGAGAGTGAATGCAAGAGAATATGTATGGAATACTATGGATCATAAAAAAAGTGCAATCATTATGAGTGAGGGCATGGATGAGAGTGCTATGTCTGGCGATGATCTGAGTCGCACAGGGAGGCACAGGAGATGATACCCCACTATGCAATAGCCGGGCCCGCGCTCATCAGATCATCAGCTAATGTATTGTCGATTTAGACATTTTTTGTTCACAAAAATAAACTGAAAGTAAACTTTAATGTATTGTAGAATAAATGCCTGAATTTGTTTTATGTGCCAAATATGATTGGATTATTTCCGCACAATTGCTCCCAAAAAATGCACATTTGAGGCAAAATGCACTGTCAGGTATACATACAAAGAGCAAATCAGCTTAGCTTATGTATGCTTTCACATGCCGGCGCTCGTCAATTCAATACTCAAATGGTGAATATTAGAGCCAAAAGCACTCTCTCTTTGCTCCTAAAGGCCTTCTCGTCATACAATTGATGGCAGTTTAGAGCCAACAGTATTGTCACGAATGCTTAGTATTGTGGCATAGAATGTGTACACATAAGAAAACACAGATACTGTATGTGGACCTACCCGTCCATTTACCATATATACTCATTGCTCAATTTGAGTCCCATTTTGGCGAAAGAGAAAGTAAGGGAAAGGGAGAGGAATTAGAGAATTCACTTCTCACTCGTATTGCAATACAATATTGTGTTATATTTGTTGGTATTGTTAGCCAAAGCCTTGTGACTCTTCAATACAGTTATTACAGAGTATTAGGGTTTTAGATATCGGTCTACAGAATGATAGTTTTGCTCCACAATTCAACTGTAGTGCTATTAGGGACTGGTATTGTCGGATATTGTATATATTGTATGCACTGTTTCATAAGCAACACTCGGTGTGATAGTACACAAGGGATTCACTGCACTCGTAATCTAAGTCGCTTCTCATGTAATTGTATGGACTATTATGAGTGAGAAAAACATTATATACTCTATCATTATATCCACTCTTAATGATTATCATTGCGGCTAAACAGAGACAACACTCTGAAACACAACTCGCTATTCAAGTCTACTGTCAATTCAATGATGAGTGACTTCAAACACTTTAAATAAATATATACTGAATATGATATTTGTTTTTCTAATTCATTACTTTTATTATGTTTGCATTCGCTCTAAAACCCTCAATAACTGCTTAATTGATTCATGATTTTTGATACGTGTTTCACATTTTATTTACTAAATCATAACAAACATCTAATGGCATGAATGATATGATTACTACATTTCACTCCGAGTTTCAGCTTTTATTTCGGCAATACTTTTGTAAAGAATTTCAAAACACATTAACTGTTTTGTAGTAACAACTGATGCCTCATTCAACTATACTTTGTATATCATATTTAATAAATAAAAAATATTATCCCAAAAGTCAAAGTATACTCTATGTCGGATAGTATACTACTTATGCCTAAAAATGTTTTGCTTAAATAAATAGCGAACTAATACTACGGTCTGTCATATGAGAAACAACGGCAACGATATTCAAATGAAGTGCAATAAAAGCAAAGTTTGCTTTCGCATGACTGCCATAGTATGCAATACAACACAACAAATAACCAAAAAAAGGAAACCTTTAATGAATTTGAATATTATTATTATTATAGATAACAGCGAATGCTTTAATAATTATAATTTGTAGAAATTATATATTATAAGTGGTAGTGTGATTTTTAGGAATAGCACTGGTTGTTCATACAAACGATACAATTATAATGATTTAGTTATGTTTCGACCTTTTCGTAGAGACTATCCATTAATCTTTGTTTTATTGATATTATATACGAGAATATTCTGCGACAAAAATGGATCAGTTTTTCTCTATTTTGTGTGCATTTTATTTTTTAGACAATGTTTGAAAACGACCAGAAATATGATATGAATGAGACATTTGCGGCACTCGGAGGAAAGGGAGCGCTGCATGTATTGTAAGGTACGGCTCACCGAATCGCGAGTGAGAAATAAAAAACTTTTTTCACGCTTTTCTTCTCTCCATTCAAACTAACCATCGAATGGATGGTAAGACTGGAGACCTATTCACTGGTGATATGGGAGCACAACATTAGAGTTATGGTTGCGTTCAGTCATTGATATTCACTTTTTTCAAGAATAACTTATAGTATATCAGAGTTTATATGTGTGTTGGAGTCAAGTCTAGCGATAATTTCCAGCGCTAGTGAGTGTATGCATGTGTTGGTGCGCCTATGCCTAAGCCTATGCACTGGTAGTGCCATTACTGGTGCATCTTTTAGGCATTGCATGGATGAAAGTTGAAATGAATGCAACATCAATCATGCTCATATTGCCACGAGAATGCCTGTCCCCATAGCAACCCGTAAGGCATATATACACACATTTTCACAGCTCCCTTGCTTTTCTATACTTCCACCGAATATTGTATTACTTGGAGAACCAGCTATAGTGCACTCCATTCCCTACCCTCCCCTTCATCTTTATATTGCAATGCAATTCACTGTCTCCTCTATTATATCATAAATGTTTGGTTTCATGGATACACATATAGATGATGAGCGCAGTTATGTGTTTGGGATGTGTGAGCGAGAAATGGGATCACAAAATATTTGGTCATTAATGAGCGCCAAATGTATGGCACATCTCTCACCGATGGGAGAGTTATCCAAATTATTTGAGCTCTTATTCTAAACACTAATATATTGGAGAAACAGTATTTGGGATTAAAGGGCTATTGATGTTGTAGTGATGCCGTAGTTGGACAGGCATTGCCGACTCATTGCATGATTTAAACATCTAATCTCTTGTACCACTTTTCGGTCTCATATTTGCAATAAGTTTTAGCTGTAGTTATAGCTTAGCCCGTAGTCTGTTTGGTCGAGCAAACAGCACAAACATGTCAGTGCAGGCTATGTCTGTGTGCACGCAATTCAGACAATTCCTAAATCCTTAGGCTTATTACTGGTAACCCCTGCGCGCACTACACTATACAATATTAGACTCAAGTATTACGACATATACTCTAAGTATAAATGGTTGCAAATATTAAAGAGAAAGTTGCAGAGAGAGAGAGAGAGAGAGAGAGAGAGAGAGAGAGAGAGGCTTTGGCAACACACTCTCGTAAGCCCTCCACAACTTCTTCCATCTTTGCAATGAAACCCATAGGAAAACGTATGAGCGCTGAGCAGAAGCAGTGTTGTGCGAGTTGTGCAGTGTATGGCTATAGTCTACTACAGTGTACTGTAGTGTATGGCTGTATGAGCGCCTGGAGTGAGGCAATGACAGTGACAAATTGGCCCATGGATTACAACTCAGCTCAACCGGCATTCGACGTTCGCTTCACTGATCCCTTTGGTCTGTTTCCTGCCTATACTCACAATACTATGACTCGAATTCAGACCCAAAATATAGCAAAGATTAGACACTAAGGCCTAACCCAACGCTGTATGCCAGCCATAGCTATGTATAACTTATAGCCAGAATTTAACTGATATTTTGTGCACTTTTTTCATCTCTTTTATATTGAATTTGCGAACAAAGAATTGGTCACTATTTTCAATATAAGGAATTAGAAAATATCTGTTCGAGACATACACTCTCTCGAGAATATTTTCATCCCATCCCTCATGTCGTGAATAAAAGATAGCATTTTGTGATCAAATACTAAGTTTATAGACGTTTTGTGCAGTACTATAGATATTCAGTGTATGTCTTGCCATTGCTTCGGGTTTTTATTAGTCTTTCATCCAATTAGATGTTATTATATAAGTCTTACGTATAGTTTTCAAGTCATATAAAAACACATACTGTATAATTTATTCTACAAAGTCTACAGTATTTTCTCATAATATTAAAAGTGTTGTCTATCTCTCGTGTAATTCATTCATTGAATCATTTAATTATTGAGTGAATCCAACAAATTTCCTCTTCCTCTATAAAAACTGATGAGAATTAGCATAAATGGCAGCTTTGGGTCGTTTTGAGCATTAAATATATACATATCTATTCACTGGGAATGTATAAAAAGCATGCCTTCAGAGGGTTGGCGAACATCACGAATGAAACATCAAATTTGAACACAACTGCGATATTTGACGTGAGACTGACAGCCACTTATTATTGTATCCCAAAAATTAGTATAAGAAATATGAATATATTTTCAATATAACTAACATACAGTATATGCAGCACATTATATCGCAGTATACATTACAGCGAATATCAAGTACTGATGGAAACAAATATTATAATTTTGGTAATTTCTACTTATTTATATGCACCTGCCATCGGGTGATCATTGCCTGGCTATGACGAGTTGCCGGTCCTCTCAACTCAAGACATTCAATACATTTACTAATTTACATAAAAGTTAATTATCATAAAAATTAAAAACAGTTCTCTTGTTTTTCTATTAGACTATAAGTACATAACTATATGAGAGATGCAAACAAAGAGCAGTAAACGTCTAATTAAAGCGTTTGCCAGAGATTACACTTATTTTCTAACGATAAGTAAAAAATGTTTTTAAAATAAATTTCGATTTTTGTTTTTTGTTGTCCATTTTATTTTTCATAAAACAGTAGTTTTGTTGCTCAGCTTAAACTTTTCCACATTTATATTTAACTTTATATTTATTTTTTGTTTATTTTCAGACATCAATTAAAATAATGTTTTTCTCTTTAAAACCCAATTTATTTTATTAATTAATATATATTTTATAATATAGACAACAACTATAGACTTTTTTTTATTGCTTAATAATTATTGCCAATTGCTTAACAAATTAATACAAAATTTGTGCATAAGTTTGATTACTTTCCTGTTTGCCAACATAAATGTCATTTAATTTGATATTTTTAAATAAGTTGCTTTCAAAATTAAATATGAA